TAACTGTCCAAGAAGAGCAAATTTAGAGTTGTTGTGCACGTAAGCCAGTCATGAGCTTGTTACATGCAAAGGTTCCACTGTGTAAATCGGCCCCAAGAATGCCCATGCTAAAACCTGTGTTGGACATCTATTACTATAAAACCTGTTTGTTTAGAACTCTGTAAGGCCACAAGACTAGCAGAACATGTTGATTGTACAAGGGAAAGAAATTTATCTTTTCAGTTGATGATTAGGATAAGTGAGTGACTCTACATTATTTTCTTCAAAGTATCCTCAAAAAGAAGTAAAGCATGTTTTCTGTTTATATTTATCTCAAGTGTGGAAACACTTGAGAAATTAAAGTAAATCGGGAACACGTAAAAAACCTGATCTGATGAAATTTTTATTGCTTTCACATTTTTGACTTTAGTGCTTTGGAGCTGATGGAAAGTTAGTTCTTCATTACTGTAAGACACAAGCATGGGGATGACAGAAAGTGTATATAAAGTAAAAATTCTAATTGTTTAACAATCATAACATTTTTAATATACTTGTATTAAATAATGCTCATTGTTCTCTAGTTATGAATTTCAACACTTGAGCTCTGAAAACTGTGACAGCAAGGAAATGTCATTTCATAACTGTAGGCTTCTTTAGTGAAGTAAAGTATACGGTAAAATTTTATAAGTAATGTTTAGGTGATCGTTTAGGTGATGGACCGTCACAATAAAGTAAAACTCCACCCTATAACTAACCTGCAGTGCAGGCATATTTTGGGCATGCGATTGCACATTTTCTTATTAGGCCACCATCTTGGATTTTGTAACTGTGGAGGATAGGGGCAAGGGAAAATTTGCCCCAACCCTCTACTGGTCAAAGCATCCAATAACAATCCAAGATAGCAGCATTGAAAACCTGGTTTATCTAGCGTTCTGTTCCAAAATAATCCCTGCACTTCAGGCTTGTTCCACTACCCGACTACCACCTGCCGACAAGATTGTGGTTGTCAGGTTGATGTGGTTAAATCTCCCCCTCCTACAATACGATAATAAGGTGAATGTCAAACGATCTGTCAAAATAACAGAGTTTTAAATGTCATTCATCTTCTGTCTCTCTCGCCCGGGGATTTGGCTGAGGGCAGGAGATGACCGACATTTCAGGCTAGAGAAATGTAAGTGGTGACAGTTTTTGTGTAAAATGAATAACATGTAAATATTTTCAGTTGGTGTTTTGAAGTGAAGTGTAATCATTGTCTATCAAAATTGTCACATGTAATAGTAAGGAGACAACTATAATAGGCAGCTGCGTAGGTTGTTATTTTCTAGAGAAGTTCCTGAACTGTGAAAATGATCACATGGCTTCCTACTTTCAAAAATGAGAATTCTCTGGTAATAGCATTGCATAGTATCAAAATTATGACTTTTGTAAAGTTCAGTTGAATGTCCTGCTGAAATTTATGAATCTATGACTTACTGCACCTTTTAATAAGATGCAAACTTTGTTCAATTTTGCTGCCATCGATCATCTTAGCAGACCTCCCAGGAAACAGATGTTTACTTCAAGGGGTTTAAAAGGTCACATCTGTGGGTTATGATTGGTAGATCTTGATCCATTTTGTTTGTTTTTTCAAAGTTCATTGGTTGTCATTGTAATGATGATTGACTGTGGCCAAAAGTGCAACCATTGTTTTTAGTCAGGTTTTGAACTGCAGAGTTTACATGGTAAAGGCTCAGTAAGTTATTTGCATTACTACTGGCTATTTACATATTTCCTTACTACATCATACCTTTGGGGAGAAAAAGTATACTCTAGTATTTTAGGGAATAAATCGATGATGAATCAATGCACTTCAAGTGCAGCAGTCATTTTACCTCTGAATAGAGTTATTTCCTGATTCAGTCCCGGACAATTCTTGCATGTTTTTACAGTGTGACTCTACTTGATTTGGGCCTTTGGAAGAAAACTGACCAATCAAAATGGTAACTGAGAAAAATGAATGCCGATCCTTTTTGCAATCAAGCCAATATGTGGAAGCACTACATTAAAATTTAAACCAAGGATTCAAGACAAGGAGAGGTCTGTTATCCTTGAATTTATACACCACTTATGCCTCTATGTGGTATACATTTTTGTGGCAAATTATCACAAATTATTACTAATTTTACTTCAAAAATTTAGCTGGAAAACTTGCATTGAGATGGCCAAACCAAAACTGCTGAAAACTTCTTGAAAGTTAGAATTTATTAAAACTAGCCAATCAGAAAATGACAGCATTTCCTGAATGATCCGCAACATCTGCAACTCCGTTGGGTATCAATTTCTTTTTGTAGGACAGCAGTTTGCATTCTGTAACATCGTAGAACATGGGTCACCATCCCTTGTTCTCAAATCATGTGATTTGTTAACTTTGTTCCAACTGGTCTAGCCTGCATGGCTGGCATTCAAAGGGGAGAGAGAGGGGGAAACTTGAAGTCTGTGAAGCACGATCGGGTTTCTCTCCCCTTCTGAATACCTACCACGCAGGCTACATTACTGGTCCAGCTCAAGCAGTCACACTATAATGACTAACTGTGGTCTGAAATGAAACAATAAACGTGTTAGTACATTAGCCATTAGCAACACGATTTATAAAGTATTTTATGAAAAGAAAATCTAATAAAATCGAAGATTGGACACACAAGTGTCTGCTTATTATTAGTTTAGACTGCAGTAGTGTCAGACGGGGAAGAGTCTCTCTCATTTTCTTAGCTCTTCTGAATGAGCCATGCGCATTCCTTGTATTCTGCATTATACCTTTGCACGGCCTCCCTCTCTTCATCCCGGGGGGAGGGGGGAGGGGGAGCAGAGGTTTCCCATATAAAAAGGTCGCGGATGCTCGTCGTTTTGCTTAGGAGTGTAAGTCAAGGACCTTGGTCTTACTTAGTGTGTTCAGGATGAAACGGTTGTGCGAGTTTCTACTGCTGAAAGAAGGAAATTTAGAGGAATTGAGTCGGCAGGGTTAATTTCAGTGGAGTCACTCGCTTCCAGCGGCGGGCACTCCGGAAATCAGTGTGTGGCCTTGTCTTTCTTTTAGCAGTGGAAACCCACCCCTGGGGGGGCTACTCCTAGAAAAATAGGGTGGGGGTGTGCGGCCCGCGTCCCAAAACCCTTACCCTATTTATGACTAAAATTTGCGATATTCCCTACCCTATTTATGACCCGACCAAAAATTCGAAACCCTATCTATGACATGAGCCTTAAATCAAAACCCTGTTTCTGACCTGCGTTATGATTAGTTCCCTGGTTCAGACCAATGTTAAATTACCGTTAACATAATTTGTGAAGGGCTTTTGTTGATTTCCTCTTCGATAATGATGAAAAAGTGGCTTCTACTTACAAACATACCCATATCAAGGCTAGAGTGCAAAAACCATACCCTATTTATGATCAAAATGGCCAAAATCAACTAAAATCGGTACCTATTTATGACCAAAACGGCTGAAAAACCATACCCTTTGGGGCCACACATGCTATATAGCCCATATAAGGGAGTACCCCGCCCCCCCTCCCCCGGGAAACCCACACAACGATAACTCGCCGAAAGCGCGTTACATTGGCCTGAGAAGCTGGCAAAGAACGAAGAATAAGGACCTAAGGTCTAAGGCCTAAGGTCTATGGCCCCGACCACACCGTAATGCGTTTTTAAAAGTATATCCGTTTCCGTCTCGGCCAAAACGAAGAAAAATACTTTCGCCCGCACTAGCGTTTTCGTCTTGTTTTCACCTCTCCACACATCGAAAACGCATACTTTTTTGTGCGTTTTTACCTACCTTCCACACTAAAACGCCCGAAAACGCTGATGGAAGCGACAACATATGACTCCTTTTTGGTCACCATTTTCAAAAGCCCTCGTCTTTATCTGTCCACACTAAAAACGGAGCGTTTTCAAAAGACTCCAATTTTTTGAAACCGTTTTCATCGGCGTTTTCGGTGAATATTTTTTTTTTTTTGTCTTAGTTCTTTAGTTCGCTTGCAAAGGAACATTTCCAGCCTTAACCTAGCTGGATTCGACGTTCCCTGATCCCTCAAGTCGGCAATTTTTTTTGCCAGCAAGCTTAAGGGGGTTGCTAGAGGCCGTGGGTTGGAGCGAGTAACGCTGCTTCACAGAGGTTATTCGCAAACTGGCTTGTGGGCTGGACGATAGCCTCTCCCCAGGTATCTGGAAATTTGAGTCTGCGAACTAGGAATTACTCTTGAACTGGTTTGGGAGCCGAGTAATTCCTCCCCAGGAACTCCCGCGAGGTTTTTTTGTTTTTATTTTCGATTATTTTGCTTGTCTTGATTTTTCTGAACTTTATTTCCTTCTCGCAATTCATTAATCGTTTCCTTTTTCTTCTGTACCCGTATTTTTATAACTTTTTTTCACGCCAAGTAGGAAAAACAAAGTATTTTGAGGCATTATGGCTTAAAAAGATTTCTTATTCAGCACAGGATGTAATTTTAAGTTGCATTTTTTTTTATTTCTATTATTGGCTTTAACTTACATCTACCCTCATAATTGATATTTAATTGCAATTTTATCACTTGCTTGTAAATAATACTTCAATGATCAACTGATTCATCAAGTTACAACTTGCCAGCCTGCGTAGCAAGCGTTGCCGTGCAAAGAGCTTTTCCGCATTCTGACCGCGCGAAAATTGGAGCGAAAGCAAAAATTCACTGCGGAGAAGCTCTTCGTACGAGAACGCTTGGTGGCTAACAACTTGATAGAAACTTGTACATCTACGTGTGGCAAGTGCACTACTTCGTTCGTCTCATTTGAGATCAGCCTGGTTGGCTAATCCTCAACAGTACTTGAACTGATGAAACTCCTCATCGTGTCGTGCCAATTAGCCTATTTTTTAAGGATCAAACCGATCTGCCATAATTTACGGCTTTACAAACGATTTTAGTCAACAACTTGGTCCAAAGCTCTGCTTAATAAGTGCCGAGTATCGCATCTGTTGTGCTTGATGTGATGAAGAAACATCACGGAGGGAAGGCCCAGATACAGGATAACTAAACAAATCGAGATTGGAATGAACTGGAAACGAAGAGCAATTTCTCTAGTCGGGAATAAGTGAGAGCACTTTACTTCGACGTAGTCAAGAATTTGGACTTCATAGATGCTTTGTGGACATAAGTTATGAGGACCTATATAATGTTATTACAGGAATGTTGAGCCAAACATCCTATGCTGGTGAGAGTGGTGGTACATTTAACAACTACTGCTAAGGTTATGTTTGTGTTAGATGACAAAACAGTTTGCTCATGTTCTCAGTTCAAATTAAATAAACCACGATCTATGAATATTGTCCCGTGTTTTGTTGTGTCGCTTACGATTTACAGAGGGTGTCAAAACCAGAAACACGTAAACATGGCGTTCAGAGCCACCTTAAATTTTCTAAATTTAAAGGTGGCTCTAAACCCTATGTACAATTTTTTAAAACTTTGCCAAAAGTTCGTCTTATCATGCTTATTAAAATTTGATAATATAAAAAAAATTTCACTGTGCCGTTTTTGAATTATAAGCCTCTAAAGCTGTCATTAAGGGTGTTTTTAGCTGGTCATACTGTTGCTATGGTAACCTATTGTGTCTCGAAAATGATAACAACTTGTTCGCCAATGATTGGGCAGTAACCATCTGAACCATCAATGTTGCCAAAATCATACCAAACTTGCACCTTGAGGTAAGCTGTCGTTTTAAGATCTAAAAAGTATCCCTTTCGTTTCTCGTTATTCAAACTTCTGAGGTCCTGCAAAGGATGACCATCACGCAATTATAGCTAAATATATTCTAAAATAAAGGCAGTCTTCAAAATTTTACATTATTAGGCCAGGTACAGAGGACAAAATGAAAGAACATTTACATGTAGGATGTGCGCTTTTTCTCTACCCTGGGGAGTCAGTCGTTAAAATTGACAATCGATAATTTACATAATTTAAACTTACCTTTGATTTCGCTTACTTGTCCTCTAATCCTTAAATAAATCCAACAGAAAAATAGAAAATATCTCCTATTCGCAACAAATGCAAATATTGTAAAATTATTGCACAAAAGGCTGAGAGACATGCGGCAATAGTTCGATTGATACCTAATTTCTTAATTTCGTTTTGAAGAGAGAGAGAAAATCTTCGTCAAGTTCCCTTATTGTAACAGAAATGAAAGAATACAAGTCAATATATGAAATATCATGTATTAATTTGAACTGGGGAGAAAGATATGAAGACATGATCGATCATCGCAGCTATGCACACAACTTAAGCAGTTGTGAAATTGCGAACTCACAAAGTGACCAGCTCCCACTTGGCTTGATAGCTCAGCTAGTAGAGCACTGTACCGGTTTTCGCAGAGGTCACAGGTTCGAACCCCGTTTAGGCCTGAAGTTATTTAAGGCTTTAATTTCACAACTGCTTAAGTTGTGTGCATGGCTGCGATGACCAATCCTGTCTTCAGAAATAAAAGACTTAACAAATATTTCCTTTCTAAGCTGAACAAATTCAAAGATTCCAATTATATTTTCACGGTCCTTTGGCAAACCAGGCAAACATAAACATTCACAAATCACAAGTGGCTTATAAAGGAGACTGTTCTTGTGTGGTTAGTTTCATCAGTGAGACCTAGAAAAATGTGTCGGTGCAAAACTGATGACTCTGGACCTTCCCGTTATCTCCCTCAGAATCCTTACTGGATTCCTTCAGTTGGCGCATACTCCTCCCGGCCAAATCTTTTTATCAGCGCAGAATTCTTGAAAGCCCGCTAATTCAGCATTGGAAGCCTAGTTTGAATAGACATATTAACTCCTATGTTGCGAAACGTTTCCCATCGGGAATTACCCAGCATATTAAAGTCATAAAAGGTAAAGGGTCTGCAAAACCAGGAGTTGTCAAAATGAAGTACATTTCGTGGTGTGTAACAACATGCACTTACTCCCTAAAGCGACACAGCTGACCAATACGACCTACAATTCTTCGAAGTGTCAAGTCGATGGAGTTCGGTCAGCCGGTAAACAGAATACATACATGCTTAAAATTATTGTTTGGTGATCGTGATGGATTCAGAAGAGGAGATCGTTAACGGACGATTTGAACTTCTGCCAACGAAAAGATTGTTCTTCGTGAGCTTGTCAAGGAAATCTTTGACCTACACCAAGGGCGCAGAGAGATGCTGCTCGTGTGTTGGAAAGCACCGTTCCGCGACATCAATTTCGACGAATTTGAAGGATATTTATGGTGCCAAGGCTTACCGCGGACCGGAAGGTGATCCTGCCGCTTATTTTCAAGTGTATTCATGTCCCCTTTCTGAAAAGAAACGAGTAAGGCAGAAAACCTGCTTTAAAGTTGCCTCTTCTGATGGCGAAGAAGCGAATATAGCCGTAGCCGAGAAATGGGTTCGAACTATTTTATGGTTGGTCAAGGAACCGGAAAAGAATGTCATTAGCATTGAAGGTAAGATTTGATGACTGCGTAGTGACTTAAAGACGGTTATTTGAATTTTTTTCGCGAGTAAGACGTTTGAGAAAATTTTTAGGTGTGTGTAAGGTAGTGATTGGGAGATTACGTACAGGTAGCAATAGACAGTATCACTTTACAGATTCAAGTCACGAGACTCATGTCTGACTATTTGCCAATCGAAACAAAAACTTCAAAGGAGTGAATTTGTGCTACATTTAGCACAAATGATGTTTTGAAAATCATTGCTGTAATTTTAAAGGAGTTTCAAACACAATGATACATATTTATTTTTTTAATTTCACTTGCCTTTAAGGCTTAATGTTGCATTAGTTAAGTTGTCGCAATACCTAAGATCCAAATCAATGATCAACTGCTGATTACAGAGGTGTCTTAATACACACCCCAGACATAAAAACTGGTGAAGATTTTTAAACAGCGAGGCCAAAAAATCATAGATCACTGGCAAATAAAGAAATTCACATCATTCTATGAAAATAGTTTATAGACATGCATGAAATAAAAAGTTGAAATGACTCATTTGTAACTTATCCAGAGACACACCGTGTTGTTGGACTGCAGTGGGTGGCTAATTATGCATCTACAAGATCATATATTTGAACTGCAGAGAAAGGTATGAAGACATGACTGATCATCGCAGTTTTGTTACACAACTTATTGTATTATAAGCAGTTATGAAATGAAAGCCTGAAAAAATTTCAGGCTTGAACAGGATTGAAACCCACGACCTCTGCAATAGCTTAGTTGGTTGATCACTGCACTGGTATCACAGAGGTCATAGGTTTGAATCCCATTCAAGCCTGAATTTTTTTCAGGCTCTAATTTCACAACTGCTTTTGTTGTTTATATCACGGTGATGATCAATAATTATGTCTTCATAATTATGCATCTTTTCTAATGAAAAAAATCAAAAGAATTGTTGCTGGCTGAGGTCAGGAGGTAGACAGTGACTTTATCTGGCCAGCAGCTGGTTACTTTTGACAGCCCTGCCCTTAGATATGTTCAGCTCCTGTCCTTGGGATAATACCGAACTTGTGGGGTACACCTTGACTTGCATGCTCACAACTCACTTGTACTCGACAAATCCTTGTTTAATTGTCTTCCAGTGTTACAGTGCATCCTATTTCCTGGGTTCTCTCTCTGAAAAATCCTATCACATAATCACTTGTGTCTCTGATTACACTCTTAACAAATCTCATGATCCTACCTGTCAGCTATGAAAATATGTCACGTTGTCATGGCACTTCCATTTAGGATCATTCAAAGCCACTGCTTAGGGATAGACCATTATTTTTTTGGAGGGGGGAGAGGGGGTGGACAATTTCCAAAAAAACCCATTCCTGCACAACAAAATCTGCTAAAAAAATCGTCCAAGGGGAGCCATGGGGAGAAAAATTGAGCAAGTGTTTTATACTATACAGGTCATGTGTTTGACTTAAAAAAATATTATTGCACAAGCTGCTGCTCACTCAGTAAAGTCATGCGCAACCTAAAGGCGAGAAAACATTTCGTGCCCCAGAAAATTTCCCAACCACACGCCCCACCCACCCCTCTCAAAAAATAATGGTTGATCCCTTAGATGTCATCATTTATCTGTTTTACAGAAGAGGGGACTTTGCCATCTTCACGCAAACTCCTGATACTAATCAACCCATTCAGTGGATCTGGGAGGAGTGTCAAAACCTTTTATGACAAAGTAGAGCCAATGCTGAATGAAGCTGACATTGATTTTGATGCAGTGACCACAGGTAATCCCATTCACATTTATTAATTTCATTTGCTGTAACTTAACGTAATAACGTATCCTTTTCCTATAAATCTTGCACATTTGAGGCTGGTATTTATAGTTAGTGACAGACAGTTGAATTCCAGTCTAAAGTATTTGAACATTCTCGTCCCTTTAGCTTCCAACTTTGAGCTTTCCCTATTTATTTTTGTGTTTATTTTCCCTATGTATTTTTGTATTTAAATTTTGTTTATTCAATCTTGTACTCATGTCACTGGGTGATTTTGCAAGAATCCAACACAAGTGTAAACTGTGATGGTGCTTTCAATATAATTTGAAGTGGGTGGCTGCCCTGATGTGCATTTTATTAAAGGACGAGCACTGTGCAAATTGACAAGGTATGAGAATGACTTTTCTCACCTTGTTTGGCCATCTTGAGGAAATTTTTGTTTTACAAGTAAGTTCAGTTCAAAGATTTTTTCCTGCCTGTGAAAACCAATGTTCGCCTTCCTGCTGGAAATCTTGTGGAAACCTCACTATTATTACTGTACTGTATTGTTGTCAGTTGAGTGAAGGTGATTGTAAACTTGAATGTTTTCTCCAAGTTAATTAATAGGGTAACATTCTTAATTTCATTTTCAAAGTTAAAATTTTTGAAGGTTCTATGTGATTATCAAATCTTGTTTTCCTCTATGTAGAATATGCTGGTCATGCAGTAGAGATGATGTTGTCAATGAACCTTCTTCAAGTTGATGGGATTGTGATTTGCTCTGGAGATGGTCTGGTCTATGAGGTGCTGTATTTTCTTGTTTACCCCAACAACGTATTACTCGATCATTTTCTAAATTGTCCTTTATACCACCAAGTTGCAATCATGATTATTATTTTTATAGCTTCTTCCCAAGGACAATAAGAGACTGAATTCTCAAGATCATTGTATTTACAATTAATTTATTCTTTTTTCCATTTTTATAATATGTTATTAGTTTTTATATCATTTAATTGCAATTAATTTATTCATTTTTGCAATATTTATTATTTTTTTTACTTTATATTGATTGGATGCAAGAGCAGTATCGATTATTAAATGTAGATGTAGGTCACAGGGCACTTATCTCAAATGATACTTTTCAGGTTTCCACTTGTCTGTCTCCATGATTGAACCATCCCTTGTCCATAAATTTAGTTTGACTGCTTTTTAATGTACTATTAGTTGCTTCCTGCTGTGGCAAGTAAAAATGACTGTTTAGGTAAGAGGCATAGTCACTGGTTCATGGTTCATGCCTTGGACACTAGCTTCAGTGGTGCTGGTCCTGAATCCTGGTGATAGTCAAAGTGACGAGTTGTGAAGGGTGTATTCAAGACTTATTTCGTCAAGGTTAAGACTTCCTCAGCCTTGTAAAAAAAAAAAGCAAAACTCCAGAATTGCTTAAGTTTGCAAATTGCTTTCTCATATTGTTGCCTTCTTGCCTTGGTGAGACCCATGAATTTTGGCTACATTCTTGAAAAATTCATAGTTTTAAAAGAGCTATTCCCCATCTCTGACATGTTGTTCAATCTCCGATTAATTTTGTTGCATTTCGTGGCTGACACTAGTCTTATAGTGTCCTGTTGGGAGACAAAAACAAATGGGTATAAGCAAATTGCTGGAGCAGTTTGACAATATGCCACCAGGTGGTAGCCTGTGATAAACTAGTATCCCAGAGTAGCTATTAAGTACCAGAACCACTGAGCCATTTGCTCCTCCACTCCACTGAATTACAACAGGCTTTTAACTAATGAGAGAGGTGAGGTGGCCTCGTGGTTAGTGTGCTCGTCTCCAGATTGAGCAGCCTGGGTTTGAGCCCTGGCCGGGGACATTGTATTGTGTTCTTGGGCAAGACTCTTTACTCTTGCAGTGTCTCTTTCTGCTCAGGTGTATAAATGGGTATGGGTAAATTTAATGCTGGGGTGTAACCCTGCAATTGACTGGTGTACTCCTAGTCACTCTGTGCTATTGAAACTGGAGGTAAGCCCTGGCCTGATGTGCCACTTGGCTCATATGCAGACTTAAACTTTTACCTGTACTTTATCTGATGAGCCTCAAGACTCATAGACACTCGTGGCTTTCTTGTTTTGCATTTAGGTTATTAATGGCTTGATGAAGCGTCCTGACTGGGAGACTGCAATAAAGATTCCCCTGGGTGTCATTCCAACAGGTTCTGGGAATGCACTTTGTCTTTCTGCTCTCCATGCTACTGGGTAGGTCACATTTCTAGGTTTTGTGTCTGAAGGATCAGAAGAGTTTTTACAGTATGGCATAATTAACTTTCGCTAGGGGACTCACCTAATACCAATGAGCCAATCAAAGCAAAAGTTGTCTTCAGAAATATTCAGTTCAGAATATTAAATTATTCTTTTGTAGTCGAAAAATTTGATGATGTAAAAGGTGATAGACTCCCTGTTCCTTGGTTCAGGATTTTCTTTGTTACTAGGTTGTCATAATTTGTGGCTTGGTTCATAATTTTTTGCCTTTGGTATGGGGTCTTGTTAGAATCATTTAAGGCTCTTTAAAGGCAACAATATAACATAAGTGAATACTGTTTGGGTGGTCAGTGTTCATGATTAAAACCTTAAAAAATGTTGGATCTGACCTAAAAATTATGTAAAAGTATAAAAACTAAATTTTGGACAACGTCCTGTTTGCCTTCATCGCAGTTAAATGACTAGATGAGCCCCCCCAAAAAAGAGTCTTAACACATGTTTTGATCCCTAAGGGGCACAATAAAAGGCAAATAGGCCTTAGGGAGAGGCTGGCACTTATTTACAGCATCGGTATTTAGCATGGAATGCCAAGATTCTAAGAATAAACGTTTTTGTCGATTGCTAATGCCACACTTTAGTAGTTCTACGTAGTTGGGATGGATATCATGTCCAGTCGTGGCTTCCTCTTGTGCCAGGCTTGTGCTCTGCTCCCCAAGAATTCCAACATCTTTCACTTGAAACAATGAAACGGCAATTAAACAGCACACAGAAAGGACTGGACATGATATCCATCCCAACTACATTGACATACTAGAGCATGGCATTGGCAATCGACAAAGACGCTTATTCTTTTTGTTAAATTTCACTAATTCTTCTTTACATTTCAAAACAGTAGGAGAAGTGATTGGCTTAATAGCAAACAAATTCAGACTCATTTATTAGCAAGTCAAGCAGTTATACCTAGAAAAGATCTTAAGTTTCTGAACTTTTTGTAATGAAGTACCAGCGGTTTCCCTTGTACCGTGGTTAAACTGAGAGTATTTTTTATTTTAACTGAGGGACTAACTGCAGCTCAAGAAATCGACCTAGATCCTTTGTGATGGTCAAGTTTCTGTTGGCTAGAATAATGGAAAAAATAACAATTATTTTGATGCACCCAGTAGTAGAGTGCTTTTTGCTAACAAATGAGTCAAACATATTCTTATTGCTCTTTTGCTAGGGAGCCATTTAATTTGATAAGTGCGATTTTTGGAGTTATACGTGGAAATCTACTTGATTTAGACATCTGCTCTGTGGTAACACCGACAGAAAAGCTGTACGCATTTCTGTCAGTAACATGGGGAATGGTCTCTGATGTGGACATTGAGTCAGAGAAATACAGATATCTTGGAGAGACAAGATTTCTTATTGGCACAATAGCAAAAATTATTGGCCTGCGGAAATATCGAGGGCGGATCTCATATTTGCCAGTCGATCATTTTTTACATGGTGGAGAGAATAACTTCGCTTTTAATTCCAGCCCTGGTGAAGTGGCCCACAGTGGTACATTGGATGACAATGTGAGCTCCACTTCACAACATAGGGAATTATGTCAAGGCAATAAGGCAATTGGTAATGGTACGTGCCATAAAGACAGTAATGCAAGTCCTTTAAGCCAAGGGCCAGTAGATCATCTGCTTCCTCCCCTATGCTCAGAGCTTCCACCCAGTTGGAAGGTGGAGGAAGGCGAGTTCATTCTAGGCTGTCCAGTGTTCCTTAGTCACCTCGGAACTGACTTCATGGCAAACCCTGAAGGAAAGTTTGGAGATGGCTTGATGGGTATCTTTTATGTTAGATCAGGGACAGGCAGAATGGCACTTTTGGATCTGTTTGGAAAAATGAAGGATGGATCTCATGTTCTTAGCCATCATGTTGAGTACATCAGGGCATTTGCTTTCCGTTTAGAGCCTGACACAAGCCAGCGTGGAACTATAGCAGTTGATGGTGAAAAAATTGATTATGTGCCAATTCAAGGACAAATGCATAAGTCGCTTGGAAAATTGATGTGTGTGACAGCACCTAAGAATATTACACAGTGAATGAATAGATCATCACTTCTCATTTATTTATGAATATTTTACAGTACAGACTGTAACTAAATTATTCTATGAACAATTTTAAGAATTTATATCTGGAATGAACGGATACATGTATCTCATATTTAACCCTTTCTGATCAGCCTATCAGTGTATTTACAGAATGAAATTGTATCAATAACTTTTCTTGTTTTCCAAATTTTGATTTAATAAATCAGCAGACTGTAAAGAGATGGCAATTTTTTTGGGGAGTCCTCTAAGTGATGACCATCAAGGATGAAATGAATGGAATTTAGTCTATGTACCAGGGTAAAAGTTCATATAAGTCTGACCAAATACTGAGTATTACCTTATTCCTTAGCTAGATAAAAGATAAGTCAAGGCTGTGGTCTAAGGGAAATTATGAGGAACCCAGAGGTTCCTAACCATGAAATCCTGGGTGCCGGCACAAAAGCTTACATGAAAGAAGTAAGTTTTTCCAGTTGCCCAAAGGCAAAAGTTAATCGCCTGTGGCACCCGGACGCTTCTAGAACACAACCCTATAAGTTGTTTTTAAATCATTTAATTATTATTAAGGGACACTATCACGATGATTTTGGTGCATTTTCAGTTTAAGCAGGAGGCAGTCAATTTGTAATTGTTATTACAAACCTGAGCAGTATTGATATTTGATTAAATTTTGATTGTTTATCAATAGTGTAGTAAATATTTACCTAGATTTATGACTATAAGTTGTAAGGTCTTAGTTGAATAGTGTGGTTTTAATATTTTTATTATTATTTGTATTTTAAATGTATATGAATATCTATATCATTCTATCCATGGACAATTAATGGAGTATGGTGCTCTATAAATAAATTTACTTTAAATTATAATCCATCAAATATTTTCCCTCACACCCAATTGGCCTAAACGCGTCTCGTGACTGAATATGCACCCGAGTGATATTCCCCAATTTTCAAAAGTGCACAGTTTTCCTCAAGCTACCCTCTCGGAAAAGATAATGTCCATGGACAAATATCGTGCCAAATGGAGACTTGTTTATTTATGACCGAGTACCTTCGTTTGTTCATAAATTGCTTCTAGAACTCCAAGATGACTTGTTGATAGGCAAACTGAATTAGTTCATTTTTTCCAAGACATCATACTCTTGTCCCGGGGCATAAACAAAAGAAAGCCAAATTTCTTGCCACAAAAGTGGAAGGGAAGATTAGGTTTTTAACTTCTACTCTTACAATTGAAAAGATCATCAATGATCCCAATACTTGTTATTCCTTGTCGTAGTAAATCACTTTTTCAATTACTACAGTACTCCGCCAGAAATGTGAAATTACATTTACAGACTTAACAGAGAAATTTTTTTTATATTCTCGTTGACGTCCATAGTAGTAACTATCATTTTTCGTCGCAATGCGTCTTACATAATACAACATTCTAGCCATAAATCATGTATCAAGTCATATGCATCTTAACTGCATTAAAGATGTCCCAGTAATGGAGTGCTTTTATTTATTTATTTATTTATTTATTTATTTATTCATTCATTCATTCATTCATTCATTCTCATCTCACTGAAGCTGCTAACCCAAAGCGGGAGCGGGGACGGTAGAGTGGTGGGAGTGTGTTACCTCTTTTCAGATATCCCATCCCACTGCCTCTTAACCTATCACTTTCTTTCAGTCACAATGTCTGGTCTTCTAAAGACTCTCCGCTTAAATGTCGGATTTTGGAAGGGCATCGAAACGACAATAGCCTCTTAAAATCTCGCATTGTCTTCAGCCTCCTTCCCGTTATATCTACACGATTGGTGAATTATTGTCAAGAGGGTCAGATGAAGGGTAAGAGAGTTACTCCCCCATCGGGGGCGTAGCCAGGATTTTTCAAAGGGGGGCTCACGCTGTGTCAAACTGAAAATACTCACGAGATTGTCATTTCGTTTTCACCACCTGTTGTAGGTTGTTTGCTTAAGAAAGGCTTACAAAAGGGGGAGCCAAGGGCACCCCAGGACTCTACCCCCCCCCCCCCCTAAAGCTAACTACAGTCAAACCTGCATATAACGGTCCTGTATATAGCGGTCACCCTGTGTATAACGGTCACTGAACAACTTTCCAAAACTCGTCCCTTACATTTACTGTTAAGTTGACCTGCATATAGGGGTCACTTGTATATAACGGACGCGGTCACCCTTTAGACTTCCTGAATCCACAATTTCATTATCTTTTACCTGCATATAACGGTCACGAAATTGGGTTACAGTTAACGAATAATGACAAACTTTAATCATCAGCTCGTTAAATAGCAGCCACCAAGGCAGGGGTCTCAGATATTAGTACTAAACACAACTACTAATACATGTCATCGCCGACGTCCAACACATGCTTGGGGCCGATAGCATTAAAGTGTCGCCGCCTTCAAACAATAGTTACTGTAACTGTAACGACACAACCGTACCACACTGGCTTTCGTCATAATTCCCTGACTATAACACTGTTCTGTACTTATCAAGTTGACCACCGCGGTTTTACACTGTATTGGACCAAAAAAGCGCTCGGCATCAATTTCTCTTCTATCAGCTTCCGATGCAGCCACTCGCAGGAGACTTAGATCAAAGTATACTGCACCTCCCTTAGAGCACACCACGGACATTTTATGGGCATTTTCCTATCGTGTTTATTGCGTTGCTGTCACTCGTTATTGTAAATAAAACGTAAATCGAGTGATTATTTGCACATAAAAATGCTATTTGTTGACTTCCAGGGGAGTTTAAAGGAAACCTGTGTACAGCAGTCACCCTGTATATCGCGGTCACCTGGCCATTTCCCAAGGGTGACCGTTATATACAGGTTTGACTGTACGCCCCTGCCCATAGGCCTTATTCCTAAGGCAATCCCTCTCAAGATATGTTTAGACCCGGGAAGGGGATACTTCCTTATATGGGCTGTATGTGGCATCAAAAGGTATGGTTTTTGAGCAGTTTTGGTTCGAAATAGGTTGAGGGTATCGATCTTGGCCAGTTTGGTCTCAAATAGGGATTGTTTTTTGCACTCTAGTCGAGTTGAGTATGTTTTTTTTATAAGAAGCTTCTTTTTCATCAATAGCGATAAGACCATCAACAAAGACTAAGGGTATTGATTTAAGGGTCAGGTCAGGTCAGGTCATAAATAGGGTAACGAAAATCGCAGATCCCACCCCATTTTTTCGTTAGGGCGTGGATTCATCGTTTATTTCGGTTTACTTGCCTCAAAATTTTGTTTCTCTAAAAGTGTTTGAAACTTGGATTTCTTACGTTTGAATCGCATAATTGATAAGCTCATCAAGAACCGAGTTGTTTTCTGGAATCAACTCGCGTCTGTGTTGCTTATTCGAGCGAAGGCGCTCTTGTCAATTGTGCCCAAGTGTTGACCGAGCCAAAGGAGCTCAAGTCGAGCCAACGAGTGCATTTTGTGAGTGGAGTCCTGAAATAGAAAGGAACTTCAAATCAAACAGATATTAATAACATTGTGTCTCGATACCCGGCAGTCGGGAAGTGCTTTCAAACAACTAGATACCCGGCAGTCTAATTCCACGGAATAACTCACTTCTTATTCTTTAATGTCAAACGAAATCATGTATTATACTTTCGCCCTACAGTACCAACGCTTGGGCCTTTTCTGTTTATACAGTCTGCTTTGTTTATGTGGGTAGTTGATAACATACATAAAGGGACCTTTTTAATTTTATGAGTTAAACGTCCGCTTTGTCGGCGACTGTTACCGTCAGAAACGTTTCTTAACCATCCGAAAGTAACGGCTTCCCTGACCCGAAAGTTGCGGCCCCTTTTGCCTGCTAAATCCGAAAGTAACGGGGGCCGTTACTTTCGGAATTCTACGGTAACATCTTCAAAAATAATTATTGAAATCTCTGAGAGTAGTCGATATTTGTTCAGTGATGCCAAGCGATTGTAAATAATGTTTTGGTTTTGTAGTGGAAAGGGGATTTTTTTATCGGGATAGGGTGCCGTTCCTTCCCCTTCTTCCTCGCGTATTTTGCCACCCGATCCCTACTCCTTCCCCGTTTACGCCAGCAACACAGGCTATATTTGTGAGTAAGTTTAGACAATAGGTAGTCTGCCTCTGCCAGTCTGTTAGTGCCGCCATTACGTCACTCTGTACCGAGTTCAAGTCATGTCTAACTTTCCAGAGTATCCAGAGATCGTGCTGAAGAGTGCGGATGAGGCCAGAAGAATCGACTTCTGTGGGTACTGACGACTACTATTATAACATTCGTTCAGATCTGGGTGTCTACATGAGAAGCACAAATTTCCATCAAGGGAATGATATCAAGGTTTACTCTCTAAGCCAAGCCTGTCAATGGGGTGATCACTACTTGGCTACTGGCTTAGATTATTTCTACCGTAGAGTCACCAACTTCATCCCAACTGTCACGGAGGAAGCCATTATTACGCTGCATTTGGTCATTACTGACATCTTATTATATGGCTAGTTCCGTGTGCGGGCAAGATGAATCAAATCCTGCGCTGTGATTGGCTACGCGAGCGGGCAAGATGGGGCTATCTTGCCCGCTCGGGACTACCCGCCGTGTCCCGCAAGAAAAATTTCCGCGAAAGCCATATAATAAATCCTCTATTGACCAAGCTTGTTCGGTCAAGATGGTTGGATATTGGCCTCGTTCTCTTTTTTGCGAGTCTATGGCCAATATCCAGCCATCTTGATCTCACGCTTGGTCAATAACCCATACGTATTTGCTGACAGGGGCGTGTACCGAAAAGTGCTCAACATGAACACTGATGAGGGCGCCGTTGAATATAGCATCCACGATGCGTTCTAGGATGGGCTCTATTTTCTGGGGTTTGACTGGTCATGTCTACTGTTTGAGGCAAGTAGACAAATGGGGTGTCACTTACCACAAAAGCACCAACATGCGTAGACTACGAGTAGTCCCTTTCACTTAGTCCGTCGTGCGTGACGCGGAAGAAAACTGCGAGAAAGAAATGGCCGTGCGAAATCCTGCCATTTTTTTCTCGCGGTTTTCTTTCGCGTCACGCACGACAGACTAAGCGAAAGAGGGACTACTCGTACTTTACAACATGCATGACAACGGCGATGCATACACGTTCAACGTTCACAAGTCAGTGCTCAACTTTCTACTTGGTGGCGTGGCACAAACCACTGGCAAAGCGTTTGGTTATTGGGATAACATCAAATATTTTGCAAACGACACCGACGTTACAGTCGACTGGGAAAGAACCATCAAGAAAATCGTTGGCTTCAACAGAAGTGAAATGTCCTCCATAGAGCACAACTGGTCCATTGATGTAGGAGCACAGTATCAGAGCGGTCTTTTGAGTGAAGCCATCTGCAAATATCAGTTTAGCCTCAAAGTCCAGTATGGTGGAAAAAGCGTTAACTCAGAGTAGCAGCAATGGAGTCACATCACTGAGGAATCCGGAACCGTTCAACTGCATAAGATGTACGTTTGGCACTGTATTAACTGGGTTTGGCGAGGAGAAGAATCTTTTCAGCCCTAACCTGGAGATCACCAACGATTCAAAACCACCCGAAGAACCAACAATGAAGACTATATATATCCATGCAAAGTCGGGATGAACAATTGCCTGTCCAAGAAGTAACCAATATTGCTGTCAAGTGTGAGATAAGTGAACTTTAGACAGACCTGATCTCGAGTTCATTTATTATTAAGGGGAAGCCGGAGTGTTTTGTAATTTTGTAGTAATTTGGCTTTATTTAGTTGAATTTGGCCCTCCCTTGATTATTAGGTATTCGTATTTAGCTTTTTGATATACGCTTCATTTATTCATAGCAACTGGGTTTCTAGTGGGTATCGGATGTTAAGTTGTAGAAACTCCATCGTGACTGTTCATGTATTCACGTGGGTTTTTGTAGCATGTTAGCCTGCGAGCAGGCTCACGTTGGAGCACAAGCGCGCGCGGCGTAGCCGCGGGCGCGATATCGAGCGGCGAAGCCGCGAGACGAGAAAGTGACTTTCTTGGCACCTTTTCACCAGACCCCTTCCCCCCGAATCGCTTTGCTCGTCACTACTCGCGCGCGTGACTCAAAGGTGAGCCTGCTCGCAGGCTAGTAGTATGTTTGCAGTTAGATTTTGTCATTACTATGAGTGCAGTAAGCCGATTTGGGTTTATTTTCCCATTGTAGACCACGTGATATTCTTTAGAGAATTTTTCTTTTATCGATCTTAAAATTATTCATTCATATACATGCGACCATTTCAAAATTTGAAAGCAAGAATTCTCAAGAGTATCATCACGTGGTCTACATTAAGAAAACAAACCGCCCAAGCTAAAGAGGGTCTATTCCTGAAAAATTTGATTTTGACTTAAAATGGGCGCTAGCTTAAAAGACTTCCCACCAAAGTTTTGTTATTATAAATTTACATTTTCAGTAAAATCAAGTAGTGCATTTGTGAGAGACATTTATTTGGTACGATTCCAGTGTTGATTCCAACCGTTCATTTGACATTTATGTCTCGTGATCAAGTAGCGTCGTTTAGCCCTTTTAATTAAACCTTGGGCGCTTTCCATTCGACCAAAAAATTCTGGTGTGAATTTCCGGTGAACATGCTATCGATCGGTCAATAAATCAATTTATCTGAATCTTTCTCTAGTTAGTGCTGCAAGGTATATATAGCAGTTGACAAGACAGGATGAAGAAAAAGAGATTTAATCTCGGCATGTAGACTAAACATTCTCAGCGTCATCCCTCTTAAGTTATTTTGGGGCACTGTACCCAGTAGACTTGCCACAAGTCGACCTCATGAGTTTCAGGGTAGAATAGCGAGCGAAGCGAACTGCGAGGTTTTAGACTTCGAAGCGGCGTTGTGAAGGTCGCGAGGCGGCCGAGCGACCGACGAAGCACGAATGACTTTTCTCAAAGTTTAGGTACCCAGCGGATTGTGTGGATGTTTTCCCGCAGGATGGAAATGCACGTTTCGCCGTTTAGGCTGGTGTCACAAGATTCGCTATTTCTTTACCCTCCCTGGATTTCCGAAACCGGGTGTATTCTAAAAATAAAATTACCTTGATTGTTTGACTTATATGGGGAACTAACTTAGCCTGCGAGCAGGCTCACGTTGGAGCACAAGCGCCCGCGGCGTAACCGCAAGCGCGAAATCGAGCGGCGAAACCGCGAGTCTCTTCACCAGACTCCTTCCTGCCGGATCGCTTTGCTCTTAGCCGGGAGACGCAAATGTGACCCTGCTTGCAGGATAGAACTAACTCTGGGCGCTTTCCATTCGATGAAAAATCCGGTTTGAGTTTCTGGGCATTTTCAGGGACGAATGGAACAGCATTTTCCGTAAAAGAAGACAACCTCGAAACTTTCCGAAATTTCTTACCGGGAATTTCTATTCCATTTGATTATCCCCGAAATTTCCGGAAAGTTCGGTTGAATGTTTCGCTTTTCCGAAATTCAACAATTTCCGGACTTACTGGAAAGTTTCGCCGGAAATTTCTGTACCATTTGCCCCCGTTTCGAGATGTTTGGATGAATGGAAAACGCCCTCTACCCGTCTTCCTCTCATGACTTAACAGATTACTTTATTCAGACGACACAATCCGAGCAGTTTAATTTGGAAATAAAAACTAAATAAACGTGATCTCCACTTAACTGAAATAGCCCCGATAAATAGTGATCAGCGAGATTGCAATCGAAAAATTCATCAGCACTAACCAAATCAAAAGTAATTACTTGACTTTATTAATGCTTGATTTAGAACGAAAAGTAAATGCCGAAGTATTCAACAAAAAGGTCACCTAGGCAAAAGTACTACCCAGTCAATCACTGCCCGATGTTTGCACCATTTATAACGTCCAAATTGCCTTAGTCGGCCTTAGCCACTTCTACGTTCCCCTGGTCTACATTTCTGTTAACGAGTCGATTTCTTTGGCAAGACCTCTAGAAAGGTCCAAAAGTCAATGTATAAGTTTTACTTCTTTGCATTCATGTTTTTCTGGAAGAGGAGAGGGGTTAGGTTACTCCAAGAGAAAATGATGGTTACTTTGAACGATTCAGGTTGGACGCGTGAAAACTTGAGTGAAGACTGAATCACCTTGCATTTGCTCCAGATCGTTATAGCTCGGTTCTCTCTTTGGATTTTACGATGCAGCTCTAATACAAGTCCTTTTTCTTTTCATACACCGCCCCACCAAAAAGATAAATAAACTTGGAAATAATTAGCAATTAGACCCGTAACCCGCAAGGGCTACGGGTCAAAAGCCCATGAGGCGAAGCCTCATGGGCTATTACCCCGTGGCCCTTGACGCCGAGGGGTCTAATTGTTTTAGTATCACCCAACTAGTCGGACAGAAAAGGCACTAATAAATTTAGCAAATGCGAGTTGAAGAAATATTTATTTGGGAATAAAACGAAAGAAAGCGTCACGCTCGATTGCGCCAATTTCGCTACTCGAGCACTATTAGTAATAGTCCTCTAGTAGCGTAGCCAATTAAAATGTAGGATTTGCATTAGTCCACTAGTTGGGTGATACTAATCTCATTTAGCAACTGTTATCAAGGGAGTACATCTAGCTCCTGTACTCTTTGCAGTCACCCTTCCCGCTTCCCAAACATTGAATGATTGCGACGATTGGTTCGCTACTCATGCGGTGTTGCTGTACAATTCTGGCACATATTATGGTCCAAACATTGATATCAGCCCATCGGTTATCATGGATTTCAAGTTTTAAGATCGATGTCATATCACCTTAGGTCTTTTCTAAACCACTTGTTTGAGGTAGTTCAACATTATGGTTGTAAAATTAGATTCAGTTTGAGTTATTCTTGACCTGTGAATAATCAGGTTCCTGGATAAACAGTCAATTCATTTCTTTGTCAGCCCAAAACCCCATACAAGAACACTAGATTTGTTACGCTGCCTAATTGGATCCGTCCAGTTTCGTCAGTCCCTGGAAATGTTCTAAAACGCTGTCACGAACTAATTATGCAAACATTCGACAAAATTAGAGAACGTTCAAGCATTTCTGCTAGATTTTAAATTTGCAAATCAGCTTCTTTACAAATGGAGGTCTAACGATAATTACACAGTGTAACGATACCACCCCGCTGGTACTGGTATTTTTTCTTCCAATCGCATGTAAGTTGTCAGTCACACGGCTGAAACTTAATTTTCGTTGTTCGTGTGCCATTTGCTTTCATTATCTTATTAAAACTTTTACGCTTCAGATGAAGAATAAAAGTTAAAAAGATTTACATTGTCAGGACCACGAAGAAGCATCCAGAAGTATTGCTAACCCTCCTAGACAAGATGCTTGTTGGGGAGGAAACCAGTTCCCAGTTTCCTATTCATTCTCCTGGAAAAAAAGAAAATAATTCTCGAAACCCCCGTCTCCATCATAACAACAGCAAGTTGTGGGCCAGCAGTGGCACCACCCACCATCCCAAGTTTCAATAAGGCCACTGCACTCCCACATCTGAAATGAAACTTGCACAAAATTAAACTTTTTGGCTGGGTTATAAATAATAGGAGGGGAAAATGTTCCCCAGAATCTTTCTTTTCCTTTTTCTTTTTTGCAAACTACTTTCATTAAACCTCTCAGAATACAAAATTTGGAATTCACTGCAGGTGAAAGGAAGATGCCAAAAGAGATGAGTAGACTTAAAGTCACTGTTGGCAAATGATATCACCAGAAAGGCATGCCAATGTAGGAAACCACAAGTTTCTTGGATAACGAAGGCAGGAACATTTTGGGGAGGGATACTAAGTCACATTTTTGATGAACTCTCCATCTGAGAAAATAAATTAGACACAAAAAATAATCAACAAACTCCTTTTGTCACTCTGGAAGTACATGTAAGTTCGTCACAAATTCCAGAACTCCTCAGACATTTTTTGCACCTCAAGTAAATTTTCAGCTGGATTAATACAAATCCTAGATTAGTACTTACAGTCTTTCCTGCTGAAAGGCAGAACCTGACAGTATTTCTGTATCTGCAAGATTGGTTTCTATCCAACTACAAGGAAGTCACATTGGACACCTTGTAGATGGCAATTCAAGGGAGAACCCTAAGCTCTTCTTCTCTAGGGAAATGTCACCGCTTTAAGACTACGAGGGGAGGGAGGGAATGGGGCACTCCCAACACTGTGGCACTGGTTCCAATCCTGGACCTAGCGCCATGACTAGGTAGTGTTTGTTGTTGGTTTGTCCTTGCACAGCGAGTTTTTCTTCCGGTTCAACACAGATTTCCTCCTTCCACAAAAAACAACACTCCAAATTCTAATTCAATCTCAATACAACGAGTTTATCAGAGCTTTTTAACATATTAAGAGAGGATTCTAGAAGTCGTTTTTGGACTGTGTGGATGTGAAATCGAAATTTCAAGAAAATGTGGTACTAAAACAATGATAAACCACTGAAAGTGAGGCAAGAGAAAATTTAAATAGATGGCATAACTAAAGATCTAGAAGGAAACATGGATGGGATATCCATGTCAAAAATTATTTCAAGAATTCATATTGAGTAGAATGTTCTCAAAGTGGTGTTTCCTTTTGAATTCTGCTAAATTGAAAGTTCAGAAAACGTCCATATCACATTTTGCCAATCTCAGTTACTTTATCCTGTTATGATGGTAACAGACAATGTTATTATTTGAAGAAAAAAAATTTGCATTTTGAAAATAACCTTTCAATTTCTGTACATTATTAGTGCAAAGAGCCAATCAAAATTTGCCTCAGACAATTTAACTGTAGTTGGAAACCAACCAAGTATTGTAACCTTTTGAGTCCTATTTTATATAGCTAGCCCTATGAGCGAGCAAGCTGAACTGAATCCCGTGCTATGATTGGCTACCCAAGCAGGCAAGATGGCACTCTCTTGCTTGCTCAGGATTACCTGCTGTATGTCGCAAGAAAATAGTGTTCTTTTTCCATATAATAAATCCTTTCTTCACCAAGCTTGTTAGGTCAAGATGGCTGGATATTACCTTGTTCTTTCTTTTTTTGCATGTTTATGGACCTAGACTCCATCTTGGTCCATAAACACACACAAAAGAACTCAGCCAATGTCCAGCCATCTTGCCCTCACGCTTGGTCAGTAACCCATGCACAATACAAATTCTCCCTGCCGGCCATGATAATTTGAAAAAGGCACTTGTTGGGAGAATTTGTATAAATATCAAGACAATATCCCTTTAGTGATCATCTTCTGGCTTGCATTATTGTTTAGCTCAACAAAACAAGGACAGATTACTTATGATCACTCTTTGGACTTAAAGGGCAAATTTAGTTGAATAGAATGATTGACGATCAGCAACCAATCAGGAAACTGGACAGCGACAACGCCAACTAACAGGAGTCTGCAACAGCATGGGCTCCTTCGTCAACGGCAGAAAACAGCAAAACACTGCAGCCATGGTCACAGCATGACCAGTCAACCCGCACAGCAAGTATAAATAAACTGCGCCTACAGGAAAGGCCAATATGATAGATTTAAAATCAAATACATTCTACGTTGAGTACATAAAATAACAAATATGAACTAACTTTAGGTCAAAGTTCCTTAGTTTGACACTAGAAAATTACTTGGATCAGAAACCCATCATCAGGAGTGTGTACATGTACCCTGCATTCTTTGTCTAGATAAAGCTATACTCAGGGTGAATTTGACAGGATTTTTCTCATCCCTGCTCTAAGGCAACCAATCAAGCTACAGCTACTACCACAGTACAGTTGAAACTCTGCTGACAGACACCTTCTGTAGATGGAAATTTTGCCTAAGCAAACACTTATTTTCCTGGCTGCATACAAAAACAGCCCCATTTAACCTCACACAGTCTTATGGCTCTTGTGAAGCACGAAGGTGTCCTATTACAGGACGTGCACTTGTACACTATTTGAACAAGCGACAAGTAAATCTCATTGTCAGGTCACAAAGAGGGAGCAACTCGTACCCTGATATTCTCAATCAAACCAAACACATGTGAGAAAATTGTTCAATAAGCCAAATGTTGGATGTCCACAACCTAGACTATGTATTGGTTACTGCTTGTATAACACAAAACACGTCAACTAATGCCACTTGGTTATCTTTGTTAACTATTCACAACCAAGTTTCCTACCAAACTAAAGCAAAATCAAGCTATACAAAGAAATTAACTACTGTACAAAAAATACAACAGCACATGTGCATAGTTTAAATTTGGAAAATCAGGAGAATGACATTATTAAGGTGATTCCTCAGAAATAAAAGTTGCTGAACAATTTTTTTGAAACTTCCCTTGAATACTCCCTACGGAGTGCTGTTTCGAAAAATACACTAAACAGTATATCGTATGTCACCCCTGCTCATTAAAGAGATATGATGGGCCAATCTTACCCCATGTAAGCCTAACAACGCACATTATTTCATCAGTTCATGTTAAATTTTGGGTAGCTGGAAGCAAAAGTTGTTAAAGCAATACTTAATGGGCAGAAGGTCTTGGGCACTTGGGACAATGTAGTATATAATTTATGGGAGAATCACACAATTCTAAACGGCGCTGACTCAAAAGGTTCCTCCAATTGTTGTTTTCGAGGTCTTAATTTGCATCCTTAAGTAAAGGTTTTGTGCAATCTTTAAGCTATTTCTATTTTCCCTACCGAACAATTTTTTTAATTTTATAACTTAAAGAGAATACTTTTTTGACCAAATTTATGGAATAAAAAATATAGGTCACCATGTTTGTTTGAGAGAAAACGAGCATTTATTTCGCTTTCGAGCTTAGCTTGAAGGAAATCTCTTATGCTGTGTACGTGCATGCGCTCATCCGCACACGTTAATGAAGCAGAAATCGTGCACAGCAGGGTTGCGCAATGCAATACTGAGGAATCACCTTAAAGAAACCTCCACCAAGTCTTGATAGAACAGTGTGATTCATGAATTTCTTGCAGTATTACTCCACTCCCTAGAACTTATGTTTTATATTAGTTGTATTGGCTAAAAATATGAAACTATTTTGAGATACAGATTGCATTGTCTCTATTCTCCAAATTCCTAGCTGACTGAAAGAACAGAAAGGTTAGTTTCAACACATAAAGCTACCAAATGCAACAATGCAGCACACCTAATAAAAACTATTTGCCCAATTTAGTCACAAACAATTCACTGTTACAGGTTGAATAATACAGCGATACTTCATGCTGCAAATATGTACAAGAACAGTTTGACAAAAACAAGCTTTTGAAGCCAATCAAAAAAAAAAACTTCAAAGCCTTTAAGCTGAAGCATTGCGGGTCACCACAAAACTGAGAAGGCGGTTGTTATTTGACTCTCGAGTATACTTGTGTGAAACTGGCAAACTCAGTTAAGGGGAAAAAACTGAGGTTATTCAATAAGAATGCTGAGAAAGTTTACTATTTCTGTAAAACCCATTCAAACTGTTCATGAGGCAGCCAACACTCGCAAAACTACTAACCAACCATTTCAATGATCTTTGACCTACTGAAGAAGAACATAATTATTTTTGGGCAGAGCAACCCTGATTATCCCTTCTTTGCAAACTATGAGTGATGGATTCAGCCTTTAAGAGCCACTGTGTACATAGTGTCTACGATTTTTTTTGTAACCAAATAGATACTTACAGCTATATTTTCACTAAGGTATACAAGAACAAAAAACTTCCAGTTCAATGCAAAGGGGTATTTAACAGGCATTCAACTATTAAGCAATGTAAAAAAATGATGAGTAAAAGAAATTGAGCATACTAAAAGTCTCGAGTCTCTACCTAAAACGGAGGAACGCCCATTCCATTCCCTCTATGCTCTGCAACAAAAGTTTACTCCCCTTCTCCAGAACAGCAACAAACCCTGGAAGAGAATACTTAAAAGAAACTGATTACTGCACCACAGTCAAAGTAAAACCAGGATGGAAAGCTTAGTCATCTGCATTGTTTTCTGCTCCATCATCGACATTCGACTGGTTGTTTTGGGAAGGGCCATCATTCTCTCCATCACCTTCTTGACTTCCTCGGTCAGGAGTTGGGGACCTTCTTTGCTTGGGAGACCTAGAATGAGATCTTGACTTTATATTCTTTGGAGACCTTGAAAGGGATTTAGAGCGAGAATGGGACCTGGAACGAGACTGCCTTGGTTTTGAGCCTGACTTTGAACGTGATCTCGAATGTGATCTTCTACGACGTGGACTTCTGGACCGGGAACGACTATCTTGTTTCCTTGGTGACCGTGAGTGACTTTGACGAGTTCTGCGTGGTGAGCGCGAATGTGATCGTGAGCGGCGATAACGAGGCGATCTGGAACGAGAGCGACGTGCCCTAAACAAACAAAGACTGGATAAGCATTTGTACATGACTTTCTTATTGAAAAAAAATTGGGCATTATTACAAGTCTTCAACAGTTTGTAATAAAAGAGAAAAGATATGTGACAATAGTGACAATGGACAACCTTAGCAGTGTCACACATTTTTCACTCAAATGAAAATAAGCTCTTGTGCTGATTTTATCGAGCAAAATTTAGTAAATATGCAAAAATTTGTAAGAATTTGTTGCAAGCTCATGGAAATATGGAACATCAAACTTGTCAAATTTTACAACAAAATGTATGTCAGGGGACAAGGCTTGGCCCCTGAAATAAGTTCCTTTGTAAAAAATTGGTACATTAAGGAGTTTCATATTTTACTAAATTCAACATGATAAATTTATCAAGAGAAGTTTTTTTGTTTATATGAAAATTGTCTTTATTGCATGACATGGTAAAGTGGTTGACTTAACAAGGAAAGGAGAAACTCAAACAATATTTAAATTAAGACCGCATGACTAATTTTTTACCCCATGATAATGCATTTAAATCTTCGATGAAGAAAATACTCCACTAGTCTTGCTTATTACCCAGCTTAATCTGCATGTGGTTGAGATGAACCGAATCCTACACTGTAGCTGGGTATTCAAGCAGGGATGAAGGTGCTATAATACATCTTCAGTATAGAATTGTGTTATTTTAGCATGATAAAACCTGTTTAATATCAACTAAAATTGTTTGGTCAAGATGGCTGGATATCAGCCTTGCTTTTTCTTCCGTGATTACAGACCTGTGCCTTGGTCCATAAAATATAAAAAAGAACTTGGCCGTTGTCCAGCCATATCAGCCATACACTTGTTCACATCTTTTAACAGCTGTTCAATACTTTTAACCTAAATTGTTTATTTAACACTGTATTCATTCTGCTAAATTTAGTTACTTTGGGGCACCTACTCGATTAGTTCCATAAACTATTTAGGTGTTCCAAATTCCACACAATCAACCTTATTTGAAAACTACTTGTCTTCCTTTATCTTCTTTTCTTTCTCTCTTTAACACTTTATTTTTTAAAAACAATTGTAAATTATTTCATTGATGCTATTTACATCTTCCATATGTAATTTGTATATATTTATATGCTTTCTATTTTTTTCTGACAGCTCTGTAAAATCTTGATGTTTGTGAGCGTTTAAATTAACATTGAATTGAATTGAATTTCCACAACCCTCTGCTGCTGGACTAAAGGATATGGTATGCGCAAGAGAATTTAGGGGTTAAAATTAAACCAGAAGCCTAACAATATTGTTTATCAGTATTGATAAGCTTTCTGAAAACAAGTGTCTAGTATTAAACTCTCACATCTACGGGGCCTAACATAGGGTGAAATCTTTACCTGCGTCTAGGGGACCGTGAACGTGAACGATATCGTGAGCCGCCGTAGTTCGAGTTTCTGTAACGATTACGCGGCTTGTAAGATTCTGAGGGTCTTCCGTATTTTGCCATCTGCACTCGGATTTCTCGTCCATCGATGATTGTTCCATGTAAGGAATCCATTGCGTCTTCAGCATCGCGTTTCTCGTGGAATCTGACAAAAGCAAACCCTCGGGATTCTTGTTTGTAGCGATCGCGCGGGATGTAAACGTCACCGAGTTCGCCGTATTTCGAGAATACCTTGGTCAAATCACCCGTGGTTGTACGATAAGTGAGGTTGTCGACTTTTAGACTAGTCATTCCCTCAATTTGAGGTGGCCCTCGGCTGCTATCGAAGCTCATGATGACAACGAACCTTCAAAATGGCGTCTTTCTTGCTTCCACGTGTCGTCTAATACGAATTGCGAAATAATTGAGCCCCCCTCAAGTCTTGTTTCAGTCTCGTACCCAGTTGCCACTCATTACGCAATTAAACCAAACAGCGCGAAAGACGGAGGAACAGAATCGGTGTCCGTTATTTACAGACCATAGATCTTTTAATATCGTATTCCCATTTCTATTACCGAGAGCTAACCGAAAATAGGCTAACCTGAGTACTATTGACTCACTATTCAGGCATTCAGGTTAACCGGAACGCTATTTGGGCCTAAATGTAGTATGCAGTCTGGAGTTAGGAGTTAGTTAGTAGTCTTCTCCAGCGAGAGGGCCAAAGCATTTGCGAAGAACGGTGTATATGCGTGTGCGGTATAGGGTACCGTCCTAAGTCTGGAGTTTGGAGCAACTTTTTGCGGTTCTACCAACCTCGAGCAAGTTCTGTCTTTCTGAGAAACTTTTGAGCAAAATAAAGGTTCAGAGTACATATCAAGCACGAAAAAGTCAACGATTTTATAGAAAACTTCAATTTATGCGGGTTTCTTGAATGTTTATCAACTTTTTGAACTTTGAACACATAACCTGTCACTGCACAACGTTCAGCAAGACGTCAAATGAACCATGTGGTTTGTTTCGTTAGACTCAGGAGTGCCCTTAAAGTCCTAGTATTGCCCATTAAGCACTGCACGCAGCGATCTCTTAGCGGCCATTTTTCTGATGTTGAAAATTCTGAAGACTCTTTTGTTTGCCGCCAGAATAGAACTTGAAAACAATAGACGCCTCGCTCCTGTGAAAACCAAAACAAACAACTGAGAGGTGCGCTAAGCATAATGGCCAATACTGTGCCTTTAAATTTCGCCCATATTTGCGAGCAACTCTTTAAAGTTAAGTTTCAAGCTATTTTTCTTGACCGATGTTAGCAATTATTTTAAAAACCAAAAATAAATCCTTTAGTTAACCTTTGTATAAATATATAAAAAAAATCTAGGTAGCAACTTTTTGAATTTTTTGGCAATATTTTTTTCTAGCGAACAACTTTTCAGCATTTTACAAGCACAATCGGGACAGGCCTACCTACTGACGCTGACGCTGACGAAAAGAAACCCACCACCTGATACTCCTTACATCAAGGCAAGAGATCAAGGTCTCTTGATTAAGGGCACTTCTGAGACCATCACGAGGTTCCTACAGCCCTGCAACATACGCCTAGCCCACAGTGAAACCCACAACTACGTTACGACACTTACAGACCCACGTTGAAAGACAGGGACGAACCTAAAAACAGACAGGGAGCAGTTTACAAGATCAAATGCTCCGACTGCCACGCTTCCTAGCTACATCGGCGAGACTGGCATTGAAACCTTTAAAATGGTGATATCAACAATCACATCAGTTGCTGAACATCAGCAACAGACAAACCACAGAACTGACTGGTACTCTGCTTAATACTTACAAACTACAGTAAATTACAGTACAAACTATTTTCAACGACTGACTCTGGAAAGCTGGAACACTACATGTAACTTAGAACAAATGCCTCTTTAACAGATTTCAACAACTACCGGCACCTTACAAACGACTTATTCACGACATAAACAAAATCGACCAACGAACCTCAAACTTACCGACTTCAGATTTAGGCAACAATATACCGATTTGATTTGACTAAAAATAGACAGATTGAAACCGATCAATGACTGTTGACAAGCTCTGTATGCACGAGTCTTTCAGCCAATACCATCGCGGCTAAACTGACCAATCAGTTTCAACGCAACAGACTTACAACACCATCGACTGACAAACATCATTCACTTAGCTCTGAAAATGAATTTCGCTCAGTTGGTCGCAACGTCAGCCTTTCAGTCTTCACCCGGACGATCACACAAGACGAACTTGGTCGAACTAATGATAAGTAGCCTGCGAAGGCAAACGTCACGGTATTTGCGGCTGTGCTTATCTCCGCCGAAAATTTTCGGCGGAAATACGTCGGCGCTCGCAGGCTAATGCGAACGGCTAGAGAGTGATGGATCATGGAGTCAAAAGATTTCATTTTTATGAGATGATAACGAATTGAACTCGTGACAAACATTTACAGTTTCGGATCCCTTTCTCATTTTTCCCTTTCCTGTTTTTGACTAAATTTGATACATTTTGGTATTACTCTTATGACGTCAGTTGCATTCCTCAGATTGGAGTTCATGACATTATACCGGAATCAGGGCTAAACACCTCAGGATTTCTGTAAAAAAAAACACTGAGATGAAAAAAAACACCGGTACAGAACGTCAGATTTGCGTCAGAATCAGTTGTTAATTTTGCATCATTATCAATTGACGTCAATCTGCCATAGCGCAGGTGGCCCAAATTCAATTTGTGGCCACTGCTCTTTGACCCTGCGCACACGACGGGAAACAACGAAGAACGACATCGATAAAACGCGGAAGCCACAAACTCATTTGTAAAAACAGAGTTTGCGCCCAAATTACGTAAAACACACAAAGACAACCCTTTGTTGAGGTTCAGCAATGATCTCCTTCAAATAAGCGCCCCGTTTCTTATAAGCGCCTCGATTCCAATAACCGCACCGTTCCGAATAGCGCTCCTAGCGAAAATGACATCCAAGATAATGATATAGAATATACTGATTCCGACTGAATTAGACTGATGTGGTTAGACGGATGAATTATGAAGTCTGCCTGAGGTCAAGATGGCTGGATATTGGCCAAGTTCCTTTTCTGTGTGTTTACGGACCGATTGCAAGACGGAGTCGAGGTCCTTAAATTCGCACAAAAAAAAAAAAAAAAACGAGGCCAGTATCCAACCATCTTGACCAAACAAG